GATTTCGTGTTCCAGGCTCGTAATCTTCTCTCGACATAGACGATGCCTGAGACCAGCAGCTTTCGTTTCTTCAACTAATCGTGTGAGCGCTTCCCTAATTGTCAAGACTTCACTTTGAGCTTCATCAGCTTGCACCTTATACCTCCTGGCATCCTCTTCTGCAAGCACTACTCTTTCCTCTAAGCTTAAAACGGCAGCTTCTCTTTGAGACTCAACTCTTGAAACTTCCCGTTTAAGTCGTTCTACTTCGGTTTCGGCTTTGCTAGCTCTCGTAGTGTTTTCAATGTTCTTTTGAACACACAAGATGCTGTCTTGTAGAGTAGATAACTTATCTAAACATTGCTGGTAGCTTAAAAGACTGGCTTCTCTTTCAGTCTCTAGTTTGGCAAGGGACTCTTTCAAAATCGAAACCTCCATCTCAGCCTTACCAGCTCTTTCATTTAAACTCCTTGAATCTTCTTGCGCTCGAGATACCTCGGACTCTAACGTAGACAACCTCTGTAGACTGTCGTTATACTGAAGTAACCCGACTTCCTTTTCAGCTTCTAGTTTAGCAAGCGTGTTCTTTAAGGATAAAATTTCATACTCAGCTCTATCCACCCTTTCGGACTCGACATATACTCGATTCTTAAGCTCATGATTCCCATTACTTTGCATATTCTCTTCTCCAGGATCAAGATCATGAAAACTGAGACGTTTTCTCGCCTTCCCATTGTTGAATTTCGAAAGATTCTCGGCTGCTCCTGAGTTAAACAACTCATCAAGATGTTTCAACCACGTCTCCCTTGTCATCAAATTAGAGCCTTTGCTGGAAGGTTGAGTTTTTTCAGGTGTAAAATAATCAGCATCAGTGCTGTCATCAGGGTGAGCCATGGATATATGATTAGGAAAGGCTTCAGCCATGGTTCGATGAGCCTGATGAATCACAACGGTTGCGTGATCGTATCGTTCAGCCAATGCTCGGTACGCTCGGTAAAACTCTTCAACTAGTTTCATAAGCTCAGGACGCTTTTTATAATACATCTCAGCCCTCTTTGCAAAGGAATCTGCATCTTCTTCAATAAGCTTGATCATCTGCTTGATGTTTTCATCCATGTCTACCAAGAACAGACAAGAATTCTGATTAGAAACACAAAAACAAAGAACATAGAACACAAAACACGACAGAATGAAACCTACAGGGCAGTTCCATAGACAATAAAAGGGTGTACCTGAAAGACTGTCTTGAAGCCATTTAGAGGTCTTTGGGCTAATGTGGCTATCCCACCACCAAGAATACGAACGCTTGGAATCTACAGCCGAGGGGGTTTCCATGGATTCCCCACTCTTATGTCTCAACCCAGATGGAATTTTGACCCAAAATCGTTAAATTGTGAACCCAAGAACAGGAATCTGGATGAAGTTTTGAAAAGAATGAAAACCCAGAACTTAGATTGTTGCATAGAAGAAAGAAAGCTGGAGGGTACCTGATGAACACGATGGGTTGTGTTCATGAGTGTTGTAGAACCTGAAGAACACATGAAATTCAGACATCATGGAAAGAACAAGAAACAGAGAAAAATTCAAGAATCAAAGAACTTACCGAACAGATTCTTATTTTTTGCCCCACAAAAGAGGAGAAGGGGTGGGTTTGATTCTGGAATAGTAATGACAGTGGCAGTCTTTTAGTGTTCTTATGTGTCTCTCAGCCTGGTTTTTTTGTTGCTTTTTATGCAGCGTAGTGGTAATATTTCAGCTTTTGCAAAATGTTTATGGCGGAAGATGGAGAGCAAACACCGTGGTTTAGGGGAGAGAATTAAATAAGAGAGAGAAGAAATCTGTCCATTTTTATCACTTTATACAAAGTCAAGAATTGATTTTTTTTCTTTTTTTTTTGTTTGTTGGTTCATACTTATAGTTCGAGGACAGATCCCACGACAGGAGGAGAATAAAACACCGTAGTTCCTATGAGATGGAGACGATGAGGTCGGTCCATGGATTTTCCTTTCTTTTACTGCATTTCGCTCAAAGGGTTGAAGGGAGATAGTGCATCAAGTTGTTCGCAAGGGCCAACTTGATCCTCTTCTCCAAGGATCCCAGATGAGGGAACCCTAAGAGACCTGTTGACTCCACCTATCGTCCATTTATGATCCATACTAGATTTGACCAACAGCCCATCCTACCTCCTCTACGTTCTTAACCGCCCATCTTTGTTTCAGTATAGTCTTTCATTGGCATGTTTCGGTGCTCTTCCCCATTATAAGTGTGTAGAAAATTAGACATGTTTTAAAAATTTTGAGTTTAAGTCCAAAAGAAAAAAAATTCAAATACGAAAATATCGGAGTGAAATGCAAAGTTATATATACATATACATGTTTTGTAAGGAGTGTTCTTAGGTTGAAATTTTTAATTGAATAATAAACTTATATCATTTATTTTTAGAGCATAAATTAAGATTTGTAATTCAATTTTTAAATATATTTTTTAAAATTATTACATTTCAAAAAATATTTTTTTTTTATGGACAATACAAAATTAAAAATAATTATCCAATAAATTAAAATTAATATATTAACATGTAATTATATCATAATAAAAAATTATTTTTTTAATTTAACATCAAATTTTTATGGGTTTCAGCTGAAGAGAATTACTAAAAAAATTTATTTATTTGAATTTAAAGGTGATCTTAGTATTATAAAGAGTTTGACTTTATTCATCATGATTTTAGCCGCAAAATAAAATAATTATAATTATAATTAAAAAAAAAAAATCTTATATTAAAGTTGTCTTAATTTGATCTAAGATCTCGTGAGTAATTGAAGGCAAATTAAAATTACCATATTAGTATTTATATTTATATATTTTTTTTTTACTTCAACATGGAAATATTAAAATTCGAAGTAAAACATAGTTATGTTGGGGTTGAAATTTATGTTTTTAATTTATTTGTTGGACTTAAATAAAAAGAAAATATTGTAGAAAATGATTTAATTATTAAATCTATAATGGTGGAGGGTACACATGTCATATCATGTATTTATATCACAAAATCTCATTTGAATCTACAAATAAATAAATAAATCATATTTGAATGCCATATGGTATGAGTGTGTGGAATAATTTAAATTATTTTATAACCTAAAGTTTTGAATCTACATGTTATCTTTATAGTATTATAAATAAAATCTCTTAAAAAATAATAATATATATATATATATATATATTTTATATAATAAAAATGATGAGAGGCATAGAGAGGGCTTTGAAATCATGCCTTGCTTTAGGGGGAAAGATATAAAATGTATAGGCATGCTTGGTTTGCTTGTTTTTTTTAGTGTAACAACTTTACCCATATTCATTGTTCATTATATTGTTGGGGCCTTTCTTTTTTCTTTTTACAAAATTTATTAATTTACCCACCTCTTTGGAGCCCCGCATCTCGTGTCTACTCCCTGAGGGGAAGAGCTAGAAGGTTGACACATCGTTCGGTGTTCCTTTCTCCAATCGATCTAGGACCCCACCAAATCCACCACTTTGGGCCTAGGGTCCTTACTAATACACCTCGTGCCTACCTCCTTCGGGGAAGAGTGAGAAAGCTGACACCTCGTCAGATATTATCCTTTTTGGGTTTTCCCTTCTAGGCTTCCCCTCAAGGCTTTAAAACGAGTCTACTAGGAGAACGAATTATTGCTTATAAGAGTGTTGAAACTTCTCCCTACTAGACACGTTTTAAAACTCTGGGAGGAAGCCAGAGAGGACAATATCAGTTAGCACAAATGGTATTAGAGTTAAATACCAAGCGGTGTAATTAGTAAAGACGCTCGCCCTAGAGGAAGATGGATTAGTTTTCAAAAATCGCATATATTAAAACTCGTTATTAAAAATAGTTAGTCATTATTTTTGTTATATTTCTTAATTTTTTTTAATGATATAATGAGAATTGAAAAATATAAAATAAATCATACTAAATATTAAAAATTTGGTAGGGTAACCAAAAAGGAAGGCAATGACATGGCAACTCGAATATTGTGTGGCATAAGATTGTTGGACCACGTGGGTGAATTTAATGTATACAAAAGTAATAAACTTTTAGACCATATTTTATAATTGATTGGATAATATATATGAAGCGTGGTCACTTTATAGAGCGCGGCTCATGTGGCGCACCTTAGGACCAACCATTCTCAGCTTAGTCAAGGTATTATAATAAATGTATTTACATTAATACCTCACCCCATCATTTTCACCATAAATTTCCTCATCAATGTTACCCATAGCATTAATTACTTCACGTTTTAATCTCTTCAGAAGTTAAGTCTTTTTAAAATTACTGTTTTATTTGTCGCCATATGCCACCCACTATTCCCATACATTGGGAGAACCTTTTTTCATGAAAGGGTGAGCTGTCTTCCCTAAATACTAGGGTTTGGGAGTACATGGCTATTTTTATTTATTATTCTTAAAAATAAATTCAAATTTTAAAATGGTGACATAGACCACGCTCCAATGAAAACTTAAAACAATTGAAATTTACTACTGTTTTCTTCTTCGGTGGCTCGATTAGAGGAAGCATATCAGTGAAGACAAAATATGATGAAATGACTCATATTTGTTTGTGAAGACAAGCAAGAACCAAATAGCTTGACTGTGTCGTAGGGATGTAGGAGAGTGTTAAGGTCATCCAGTGTTGAATCCAAATTTCAAACCCTAATTCAAATCTTGGATATGGTTCGTTAAGTAAAATTTTAAGTTCAAAACATAATTTTAAAACATTTACGAACTATTATATTTTAAATTTGAAATAATAATCATATTTGGTGGAGAAATAGTAAATTTAAGGGTTATTTATTTATTTATTTTTGTAATTTAGTCAAAAAGAAAACAAACAAAAATAATATCCTTATATTGTCATTATGCTGTTAGGTCTTAAGGAATAAGATCAAAGTATGAAGTGGACCCCACAGAAATTAACATCTTTTGTCAGATGTCCCTTCTTTACCCTTCCTTCCGTCGTCACCTATTCGTAGCCTTTGGATTGTCTTAATGGGCCTATCCTTGAAGTTCAATTGGGCTCTCATGTATCTGCAAAAAGCCCAATACAAGCCCAATGGGCCAGATGATTAACTCAGCCAGAACCATAGAACCACAAAGTAGGTTTCCAATGAACCAGCAGCGAGCCTTCTCCCTCTACCACACCCACATCAAGCTCCTGGGTTTCGACCTTAATTCACTCACCCAAAGCTCTTCTTCCTCCTCCTCCGATGCAGTTTCCTTCTCTCGCAGAGGCTTTGCGGTTTCTTGTGCAGAGATCGTCGGCGTTGTGGTCTCCCGTGACCTGAAACCGAACAGGTTTCTTAGATTTTCCGTCGACGACGGCACAGGCTGTGTTAGCTGCATCCTGTGGCTAAACCATCTTACGTCGCCTTATTTTGCCTCACGCCACCAGCCAGATGTTCGAATAATTGGAAATATGGCGACCCATTTCGCAGCCCAAATTAGGGTTGGGATTGTTGCTAGGGTTCGAGGGAAGGTTAGCAGCTATAGGGGAGTGGTGCAGATCACGGTGTCAGATGTTGTGGTTGAGAACGACCCAAATGCTGAAATTCTGCATTGGTTGGATTGTATGAGGTTGGCTCTTAAGTGTTATGACCTCTCCCCTGCACCTAAGTAGCTGTAGATTCCAATGGTTTTAAAATGCTATCTCTTCTAGTCTTGTGCTTTTCTTTTTTCTGAATGCAGTGAAGATTCCACTCTTTGTTGCTTTTTTCTCTTAAAGTTGAGTTTACTGTACAAGAGATTGGTCTTTGGAATGATTATATAATAAAATATGAAAACTAGTAGCTACTGTCTGTGTTTACTGTTTAGTTTGATGAAAGCTACTGAAGTTCAACGAGGAACTTAATGAGAAATAACCAATTGACTTCTTTTCTGCATTGGATATGATCAAATGGATGGTGTGAGTGTTAATAAACAGCATAAACATATCAGCCCATACCACAGCTGCGACAAATTTGACCCATTCGCTACATCAAGTAGCAATGAAGATGTTAGTTTAGATAGCATGATTTCTAGATGTATGGGCCTCTAACTTTTAGGCTTGCTTTTTTTTAGCTTTTTTCTTTGGGAGTTGATTCTTTTTCAGTGAAGGATCCTTTTGAAAGAAAGATATGGGTAGTGGGGATTTTCTTGTTTCAAGCAGGGTATGCGCAGGATGAACAATGAAAAGTCAGAAACAAACGAGTCAATGTTTGTGGGGGAAAGAATGGCTTATGAACACAGATGAAAGGTAAGTTGGATCCTCTGTTACTGCATACCCAAAAAAACTCTCCACTTTTGAGCTCTGTCAATTCAGAACTTTGTGTCACTGAGATTTCACTATGGCTTTCAATCATTCTCACTGCTCTCTGTTGCTACCTATGAATATGATTGGCTTGCATTCAACTAATTCTCTGAAAAAAGAGCATTTTCTTATTGATATTGTGAAAGATTTCTGTTTGATATGTTTGGGCCATAAAGCACAAAAATAGTGGAAGCTTCCATATATGTGACTGCTATGGCTACTCACTGTTTCCTTTTCCTCTTTTTGAACTGATTACTATGTGCTTTCAGAATAGGGATGTCAAACAAATTCAACCACCCTGATAGCTTGATCACTTTTATTCAAACTATTTTGGTTTGGTTTGATTGATTTAAGTTTGACATGAGTAATTTTTCGTGAGTGTAACAGCTCAAGCTCACCGCTAGCAAATATTGTCCTCTTTGAGCTTTCCCTCAAGGTTTTTAAAACGCGTCTGCTAAGGAGAAGTTTCCATATTCTTTATAAGGGTGTTCGTTCTCCTCCCCAGCCAATGTGGGATCTCTCAATGAGGATATAAATGGTTGGATACAACATCTTCCATTATGAATAGGATATCCATTTTTTGTATGTCAACAATGATTGGATAATTGACTTAAGATTTATGCTATTATCATCCGAACTTGGATACTTGATTGATTGAGATTGATTGAAATTTATGTGGGTATCAAATGAAGTTATTAGATATATGATTGGTATGTTTGTTGAAGAAAATTAGACTTGAAACACAACCAAGTCTGGAACTGGTTTATATGCATTGAACCTCACGAGTAAATGCCAAATTGTGCATGATTTTGAGGCTTTAGAGAATAGACAGTGGAATAAAATAATGAAAGAAACCAGTTGCAATGTTCTTGCTTTGAATTTAAGTGGCCTTTCAGGTAGCTCAGGTGGCTATAATACACATCGGTCGAGCTGTCTCAGCCCTTCTTGGTGGCTATGATCAAATACAAAGAAGACGGTGGACAAATACCGAATGATTTGATGGGCTACAATAAAATATAGGCCTACTCATAAAGCATTTCTTCATTTTGTGTATAACAACCATCAATCTGTGAGCGCATAGTTAAGTTTTTTTTACTAAATTTTGTTTGGCTACCGTAAGATCAGAACTTTTTGGATATTAAATGAGATGGGTCAGGTCGGTTTCAAATTGTACATCAACCCAAATGATTGAATGAATAATTAAAGGAGAAGAAATAAAATATTTTACTTGCACAACTCATCAAATTCCATATTGTTTTATAAGGTCTAAGGATGGTTGGTACATTAATTTAGTAGTTTTCATGTAAAAGTGTTTGATTCTATCTGATCTATTGTGCTGTTTGTAATCAATGGAGATGAATATTATAATCCATGGAAAATCATAGAGATTATATTTGCCATTAAATAAGCACAAAAACAAAGTTATGAGTTTGAGACAAGTCAAGAATTGACTTTGTAAAGCATATGCACGTAAGAACCGAAACTACATTCAAAGAAAAGTGTGATCACGAGGATAAAGCCTATGCAAGAACAAAACATGCTAAAACGACTCTATTGGGTTTGTGAGGATAGTCTTCACTGTTAAGAGCAATTTAAGATAAATAGCTGACGTAGTCATATCTTAAAGGGATATCGGGGCCATCAAGTATACGAGACTTTAGTGCGATCGGATGGACGAAACTAATGTTTGTGAAAGTACTATCTTTAATTGTCTGTTGTTTTCAAAGGATGGGTTGGCCTTTTGGTACTTCTAGTTTCTATATCCTTTTACAGTTCTTTCTTTAATCAGATGCTGAATGTATGTGTATATATATGTATTTAAATATTATCCAATGTGATATCCCCACGTGGCTGAAGGTAGGTGAATCAAAAAGTATATGCATACTCAATTTTGTATAGAAGCATTAAACCATTTGGGCTCCAATGGAATTTAAGTTAAATTCTTGATGGGGATTTCTCTCTTTTTAGGCTACTTTTCTTTTGGCAAATTCACGTAACAGTCTAAGTTCACTGCCAGCAAATATTGTTTGCTCTCTAATCGATGTGAGACCTCACAATCCACTCCTCTTGGGGGCCTAGAGTCACTGCTGACACACACCATCTAGTGTCTGACTCTAATAACATTTGTAACGAAGCATTCCATATTGGTTAGAGAGAGGAACGAAACATTTCTTATAAATATGTGGAAACCTCTCTGTTAGTGAAAGATGGATTTATTGAATGGTTGATGAGAAGATTGATAAATTTTGAAGAGAAAGAATGCTCTATATATACGGAGAATACAGAGATATATCAAGAAAATGTACCTAGAAATCTGGTAAACAAATTAAATCAAAACAAAATCTAATCAAATCAAGAGTAAATCAAATAAAAAACTAAATCTAACTCGTAACAGAGATTTAATTAGATACTAACTGACAACAATCTAAACAAGTACGCGTTCTTTAACACTCCTCCTTGTTTAGATGCTGTGAATTCCAAGTTTTTTTTTTTTTTTTTTTTTTTTTTTTTTTTTTTTTTCTGCCCC